GACAGACGAGGATTGTAGGATCCTCCAAGAGGACTTAAACAGGCTGCAGAGATGGTCAGGGAAATGGCTACTGGAGTTTAACACCAGTAAATGTAAAGTTATGGAAATGGGATCAGGTGACAGGAGACCAAAGGGACAGTACACAATGAAGGGGAACAGCCTACCTGTAACGATTCGAGAAAGAGACCTGGGAGTGGATGTGACACCTAATCTAACTCCTGAGGCACATATAAATAGGATAACGACAGCAGCGTACTCTACACTGGCGAAAATTAGAACTTCATTCAGAAACCTAAATGAGGAGGCTTTTAGGGCGCTTTACACTGCCTACGTGAGACCCGTCTTAGAGTATGCCGCGCCATCATGGAGCCCCCACCTGAAGAAACACATAAAGAAACTGGAGAAGGTTCAGAGGTTTGCGACGAGGCTTGTCCCAGAGTTACGAGGGATGGGATATGAAGAGCGGCTGAAGGAACTGAACCTAACGACACTAGAGAAAAGAAGGGAGAGAGGAGATATGATAGGGACATATAAAATACTCAGGGGAATTGACAAAGTGGAAATAGATGAAATGTTTACACGTAATAATAACAGAACGAGGGGACATGGGTGGAAACTGGAAACTCAGATGAGTCACAGAGATGTTAGGAAGTTTTCTTTTAGCGTGAGAGTAGTGGAAAAATGGAATGCACTTGGGGAACAGGTTGTGGAAGCAAATACTATTCATACTTTTAAAACTAGGTATGATAGGGAAATTGGACAGGAGTCATTGCTGTAAACAACCGATAGCTGGAAAGGCGGGATCCAAGAGTCAATGCTCGATCCTGCAAGCACATATAGGTGAGTACATATAGGTGAGTACACACACACACACACACACACACACACACACACACACACACACACACACACACACACACACACACACACTCACACTCCCCGTCCCTCAAATACATAAACAAACTAATATTTCCCTCATGATCAATCACAATGCTTCCGATTAAAAAAAATATCGAGAGCCCCTTCCATCCCTCGTATGAGATGGAAGATGCGAGTCCTTTGACGTTTAGAATCTGGCCGTAGAAAACGCTTCGCCAAGCCAACCTTGAGATCGATGTGAGGCGGATCCGGGTCGAAGCTTGCTGACACCTCCTGACCTGCTTCAGACGGAAGGTCACTCCTGACTTGCAACTAGGAGACGAGGACAACACCACCAAGGAGCCTCGTGGTTCTCGTCATCCGGTTAAATAAGAACTTTGGCCGGATAATAAATGTCATTTTTAACCGCCTCTGGGAATGTCGTGTGAAAGTCGCGTTCTGTACCGAACTGATCGTTAATTACTTAATCGGTTAATTAATTGAGATTTTTTTTAACTTATTAAATACTGGAGAGAATAAAATATGTGATTAGCGTGAAAAGTTATGGTGGTGGTGGGGTTGAACTACAGTCTTTTTCACTGTAGAATATTTTGTGGGTGACAGACGGAGATAAAGAGACACAGACAGACAGATAAGCAGAGATGGGTAGGGGGGGAGGGGAATAGAGGCAGGCAGACATGCATGGAGGGTAAAGTATCATTACTAGAGTCTGTTTCCCTTCAGGAAGGTCGTCCTCGACATCAAGGCACAGTCACTAAGATGTACCTCGGAGCTCTGAGAGGTGTCGGCGTATCTATGCGGCACATAGATACTCACTGTGGTCACTGTGTCACCCAAGACACACCCACACTGGTCACTGTGGCTGAACGATAAATAGTCACTATAGACATTAACAGGATAAATGCAACGTCATGAGGATGGAAACTGACGTGAATCGAAAGAAGAAATAAAGAATGAAGGGTAACTGATGTTCCAAATCGAAGGAGCAGACATAATCCATAACCTGACGTTACAATCAGTTGTATAATACGGTCAGTGGCGTACATCGAACTGGAACCCGTCCAAGAAGCCTCCAAGACATAGACAAATGATCCCACGATCGCCGCGTGCTGCCTCCAGGGGACCTGGCACCGTGGTAGCCATCCAAGCGCAAGAACTTCCAAGGTTAGGTTAGGTTAGGTTAGAATAACATGAGCTGAACGGACGGAAGGTTAGGTTAGGTTAGGTTAGCTTATCATGAGCTGAACGGACGGAAGGGAAAATGTTCAGGAAACTGAAGCTCGTATCTGTAAAACAAGAGCCTGATGGTGTGACTAGTGGTTGTGATGGTACTGATGGTTGTGGTGGTACTGATGGTTGTGGTGGTACTGATGGTTGTGGTGGTACTGGTGGCACTGCTGGTACTGGTGGCGTGTGTGTGTATGTGTGTGTGTGTGTGATGGCGGTGATGGTGTTCCAGGAAGCTACTTGAGAAGGGTTATAAGTGTGGGTGTCTGTATATTACTTTTAATAACCTGACCTGGGTATATAGTGGCTATTGTCTGGCCCTCCGAGGCATGCTTCGCCCAGCCTGCATGCCACTATCCGGCTTTAATTAAATTTTATATACACTAGCATTAAATATTGCTGTGTATATCATGCCAACTTTAGTTGAAGGCTATTCCAAAAAGTGTGTATATAATAAACATATAAATAAATAAATAAATAATAAATAAATAAATAAATAAATATATATATATATATATATATATATATATATATATATATATATATATAATATATATATATAATATATATATATAATATATATATATATATATATATATATACACACACTGGCGGTACCTGGCCATACATTGCTGGATGCCCCCCCCCCTCATCCTCCCCACCACCCCACCCCCAACTCCCCCATCCCCTCGTCCTCCCCACCATTCCCCACCATTCCCCACTCCCTCGTCCGATGCGTTCCCAAATGATCTGATGTTCCCATCACTGAAAAATAAGAACAACAGCTAAAAAAAACGAAATGAAAGAGAATGAAAAAATAAAAAAATAAACTGTACTCACGAAATGAACGGTATGGTAAACAACACAGCTCAATTCCAATGCAACGTCACACAGAATATTTAAATCAAAATGAAAATAAATCAAAATCTATGAAAATTTAATTTATTAATGCAATCGGAAACATTGAAATGTAATCTTAACATATGTAGTGTAGCATGTGTTGCTTTTACGTGCAACAGATGGCGTTGATTTTCATAAAAAGCCTGATTTTACCTGTCACAGGTGTGGCATCTATATAGTAGGTGAATATGAAAATGATTGCTTTGAAAACTCTGTGAATATGACTGCATATTCTGTATTGATTATTTTCTGGTTTAGGGCTTCTGTCCCTCTAATTAGTGCTCTTGCGGGGACGCTAAGCCCCGGAAACACTTCAAGGTAACTTCAAGGCAAGGTAAGGTAGGCGCTAAGAGACCGCGATGGTATCCCACCGACTGGTTCCTTCAATAAACTTGTGATCGTTTATTCCCATCGAATCTCTCACACGAACCACAACGATATTCATTAGTTTACTTGCAGAGTGCCTGTAATTTTTTTTCAAAGTTGTTTCTCTCATTCTTATCTTCTGTGTCCGACTTTAAGCGTTGCTCGGTCCAGTTGCAGACTCCTTATCTCCACTGTGTTTCCAGGTATGGGAAATAGGCAGGTGTCCCCTAGGAAGTGTGTTTAGTCCTAGACAATGTCAACCACCACGTGAAAAGCTGTAGGTTATCATTGATACCCATAATCGCCTAGTTTCTATTCTGTCCTTTTGCAGTAAGTCGGTTTTCCTCGGGAATTACAGCAATTGTGATGACAGCCAAAGGTGGTTCCAACGGCATGCTGTCAGCAGCACAAAGACTCAGGTTTCCGGTACCGCGGACCTAACCACTTTAACGACCGGTTGGTTGGATGAAATGATTTCACACTTCGAAGATTTGAGAACGAGGTCCAATATATATACACATTCTGGGCCTCGTTCTCGTATATATATATATCAGTAGCTAAACTGACCTGGAGGATCAGAGGAACGAAGCAGCCACAGCACGACGACACTGCTGTGGATGCTTCCCTCCTCTACCATGTTGTTGTTGTTAAAGATTCGCTACTTGGAACAAAAAGTTCCAAGTAACACGGGCTATGGTGAGCCCCGTAGTCCTCTACCAGGCTGCCAAATTTCCAAGGAAAACGAGTCATCAGGGACAGAGTAGTGCTAGATAGAACGAAAATAATACAGAAAGAAAAGAAGAAGTAGGAACATAAGTATAAATTCATAACGAAAGAAATCCTAGACGAAAAAAGCCTCAAAAATACGTAATGTCAATCTAATGGGCGGAGCAGGATCTAAGAGTAGTTCAAAGGGAACGAACGGTTAGTCAGCTGTCACGGGCTGCTTCCTGGGGGTGGAGGCCTGGTCGAGGACCGGGCCGCGGGGACACTAAAAAGCCCCGAAATCATCTCAAGATAACCTCAAGATAACCTGCGTTAATTACATAGTCCCAGGTCATCCTGGAGAAGCTGCGACGGGCTGCTGTGTGCCTTGGCACAAGGTAAAGTTGTAGGGACAAGCACTGATGGAGTACACGGTTATACACACTCATACACATGGGTGTAATACACCAGTTTACAGATCGCTGGAGAAACTTGGGTGTATATAAGGAACAGCTATACACATTGTTCTCACAAACAAGGATATAGTACACATAGGTACACATAGTATAGGATATAGTACATAGGTACACAACTATTCACTGTGATAAACAGTGCTATTCTTAGATATTCACATTGCTTAACAGGGTGTGTTATACAGGGTGTATTACATAGGGTGTATTACAAAGGGTGTATTACACAGGGTGTATTACACAGGGTGTATTACACAGGGTGTATTACACAGGGTGTATTACACAGGGTGTATTACACAGGGTGTATTTCCCAACGGTAGACTTTGACAAACGGTGCAGCACACAGCTTATACACTTTACTTGACAAACAAGGGTTCATACATACAGTTCTACAAACTACCCACTTAACCACACTCTAAAATAATTTCATGTTGTCTCTTCCCCTCCTCACAGCGAGCCGTCTGCTGTCTGGCGCTGGGGGTCCTCTGCAGTTCTCGGAGCCTCGCTACTGCCTGGTGGTGGCCGAGGACGCCCCGCCTGGCCTCAGGGTCACCCAGGTCACCGCCACCCACAAGGACGGTCAGTACCTCAACTCTTCATCCTCACTGCTATTGAATATATAATTAGTAACCTATTGCCTGAGGGCAGTTTACGGGCTCACCATAGCCCGTGCTACATGAATATTTCGTTCTGAGTAGATGGAAGGACAGAGGAAAACTACTGAACGTCAATAGGTATTTTGACATTTTTGTTCCGAATGACACTATTCAGTACAACTGTTGTTATTTTAAGATTAATAAGCAGTTATGAACTGCCACGAGGCGATACGCAGTTACAATTTACCTTGCAGTGATAAGCTGATGTTGCGAAAGTTTAATTGGGTGGTTCGACAGTGATCAATTTATAAACGTGTACCAGTATTAACTTGCGAATTATTGAGGAAACTTAATTGTTGTTGCCTCTGGAGTGTGGCAGTGTTATGGTGGCAGCTGAGAGGGGGTCCTCCTCCCCCCAACCCCACCCCCTGGGTTGTGGGCTCCCCCCCCCACCCCCTTCCCCACCAGTGGGTTGAGTGCTTGCTACGTCCCCCACACGCCCACCTCCGCACGCCCACCCTCGCACGCCCATCCTCGTACCACACCTACGCCCACGCTCGTCCCACCCCTACCACACCTACGCCCACCCTCGTCCCACCCCTACCACACCTACGCCCGCTGCATATTTGCCTCCTTACATTTTATGTTTACCGATGTCACACCTATGGCTTAAGACATTCTTATTCTCAAACTTGAAAAGTTCTTACTTGTGGGAGCGCAAGGCTGTCGCTTCTTCTGCAAAACTAATCTCTGAAGTATGTTGACCAGACCACACACTTGAAGGTGAAATGACGACGACGTTTCGGTCCGTCCTGGACCATTCTCAATCGACTTGAGAATGGTCCAGGACGGACCGAAACGTCGTCGTCCCTTCACCTTCTAGTGTGTGGTGTGGTCAACATACTTTAGCCACGTTATTGTGACTCATCGCCTGCTAATCTCCAAAGCTACATGAAAAGTGTTCATATCAATAGTCAGCAACACTTTAATCGCGGGAAAAAAAATTGTGATGAGAAGTGACAGAAGTGTTGTGGGATCACTTTTTATTTCCATCAGAGAGCTGTCAATACAGCCGGGTGATGCTCACCTGTTGACTCCCAGACGTCAAGAGCCTCGTGTAAGGTGGTCCTCCTCACCTTACCTGCTTCCTAGCTCAGGATCCATGACCTTGTCGCCCGGTCTCTTACCAGATTCACGAAGCAGTTACGCAAGCACTTACGAACCTGTCCATCTTTTTCTCAATCTTTGGCGGCTTTGTTTACAATTATTAAACAGTTAATGAGCTCCGAAGCACCAGGAGGCTGTTTATAACAATAACAACAGTTGATTGGCAAGTTTTCAGGCTGGTGAATTGTTTAATAAATGTAACCAAAGCCGTCAAAAATTGAGGAGAGATGTACACGTTCGTAAGTACTTGCTTAACTGCTTCGTGAATCTGGCCCCAGGCCTCCAGGTTGGCATCCTGGTTAACCAGGCTGTTTGGCTGTGCTGCTTGCAGTCTGATGTCTCCCAGCTCTCTGTCCTGTCTCCCAGCTCTCTGTCCTGTCTCTCAGCTCTCTGTCCTGTCTCCCAGGTCTCTGTCCTGTCTCCCAGGTCTCTGTCCTGTCTCTCAGCTCTCTGTCCTGTCTCCCAGGTCTCTGTCCTGTCTCTCAGCTCTCTGTCCTGTCTCCCAGCTCTCTGTCCTGTCTCTCAGCTCTCTGTCCTGTCTCCCAGGTCTCTGTCCTGTCTCTCAGCTCTCTGTCCTGTCTCCCAGCTCTCTGTCCTGTCTCCCAGCTCTCTGTTCTGTCTCCCAGCTCTCTGTCCTGTCTCCCAGCTCTCTGTCCTGTCTCCCAGCTCTCTGTCCTGTCTCCCAGCTCTCTGTCCTGTCTCCCAGCTCTCTGTCCTGTCTCCCAGCTCTCTCTCCTGATTCCCAGTCGTCCTGCTTGACCCTTAACCCTCTTTCCTGACCCTTGACCCTCCTTCCTGACCAGGGTCCAGTTCTCCTTCACTCACAATTAATCCCTGGGCGCCACATTTCACTCAGCCGCCGCTCTCGCGAACTCTCACTCTTGGAGCCTTCACTCTGGCGTCAGTTCCGGCCTGGCGTCTGCACCAAATACATATAAATGGGTTGTAACGAAGACCAAGTTATTCATTGCTTCCCGGTCTCCTTATCTCTCTCTCTCTCTCTCTCTCTCTCTCTCTCTCTCTCTCTCTCTCTCTCTCTCTCTCTCTCTCTCTCTCTCTCTCTCTCTCTCTCTCTCTCTCTCTCTCTCTCTCTCTCTCTCTCTCTCTCTCTCTCTCTCGCTCTCTCTCTCTTTCTCTCTGTCTGTCTGTCTCTCACTGTCTGTCTGTCTGTCTGTCTGTCTGTCTGTCTGTCTGTCTGTCTGTCTGTCTGTCTGTCTGTCTGTCTGTCTGTCTGTCTGTCTGTCTGTCTCTCTCTCTCTCTCTCTCTCTCTCTCTCTCTCTCTCTCTCTCTCTCTCTCTCTCTCTCCTCTCTCTCTCTCTCTCTCTCTCAGTACCAGATCTTGCGCTGACTAGAGCTCTTTCTGACGTTTTTAAATCTCTTGTGACTAGATTCCATCTGTGTCTGCCCGTTCTGCTTTTATTTCTTACTGAATGTTTTTTTTTCGTCTGTTTATTGTTAGTTTTTTAGAATCTTTTATGTCGTTATCATGTCCTATCTTTGATCGAGTGTGGTGTGTGGTCCAGCTTTCTTGTCTTTCTGTTTAGCGTTTCTAGTTTAGTATTGTGTCTCTTTTTTTTCCGGCGAGTGGTCTATTCTATGACTGCATACTCCAGAGCGGGTTTCCTAGCTCTATTTTCTGTCTCCCAGCTCTTTCCTGTCTCCTAGACGTTTAAACGTCCGGACGTTTATAACGTCCGGAGGGCTACCTAGACGAACGTTTACAAGTCCGGCAGACACTGCAGACATTATTCTGCTAATGTCCCCCACTAAAGTCGTTCTCCTTACATGATGCTGGACGCTGACTCATCTTTATTCTCTGCTACTCTTGTGTTCTCACTTCTGTTCCTATCCTCATAACTTTGCATTTGTTTGGTTGAAATCTAGTAGCCATTTATAAAAAACCACCTGTGGAGTGTCAGAACAGATACTATAGATAATGGGAGAAGAGAAACTATAGTGAAGCAGAGAATCAGAACAAAGATTCAGAACAGTTTACTATAAGTTTACTATATAAGTTTACCATATATAAACTGAGAATCAAAAACTATTGTGATTCTCATTAGTTTTGCATCGTCAGGAAAAATTATCTGCTCAAGGTTTGCAAATCTTCTTTCTAGACCTCTTTTAGCTTTTGCTAGACCTACGTTATCTTGAGGTTATCTTGAGATGATTTAAGGGGTTTTTAGTGTCCCCGCGGCCCGGTCCTCGACCAGGCCTCCACCCCCAGGAAGCAGCCCGTGACAGCTGACTAACTCCCGAGTACCTATTTACTGCTAGGTAACAGGGGCATTCAGGGTGAAAGAAACTTTGCCCATTTGTTTCTGCCTCGTGCGGGAATCGAACCCGAGCCACAGAATTACGAGTCCTGCGCGCTATCCACCAGGCTACGAGGCCCCAAGATGTTACAAAACTTGGCTGCCAATAATAATTACTAAAATAAAAAATGTATTTCCTTATTTTCTAAAGTTTATCTAACACAATACAGACTAAAAAATTGTAATAAGCAGAAGGGTCTGTAATTTAATGTTTGCAGTAATTTTTGTCTTGAAGGCAGACGTGGATTGTGGAGAATTGTAATTGCTGTAACTCCCTCCGGTGATGTAATTTTTATTTTTTTATTTCATCTGACGCAGGACAAAGATAGAGAGAAGTCCCCTCTGTCCAGTTTCCCCATTCCTCTTCCGTTGTTCTGTGAGTGATGAGTGTGGGATGGGGTGGAAGGGGCGGGTTCCCTCTCCCTTCTTCCCTCCCCCTCCCTGTGTTACCCTTCCGGATCTCTCTCTCCCTTTGTGACAGTGTCCATCCTAAAGACAGAGAGAGAGCGAGTGATTTACAATTTATCCTGTACCATACCAACTATATGATTAATGCTGAATAAACGCTGCAAGCATCTAATCTTGGGATTAGGTTTGCAAGTCTCAGCTGGACTCCACTACAGGCGTCAAATCCGAAAAGGGATGAGGCTGTGTGGTCAAATCAACCCACAGAGTTGGTTTTATTCCATAGATGATATGCTGTGGCCCAGAAGATAAGATTCAGGAGATGAAGATGTTATACACTATGCGTTGAACTGGGCTCAAGACTTGTACCAGCCAGTTTCATGTCTCCCAAAGCCCAATTATAATCACCAAACTGTTCTTCAGATCAAAGTCTATAAATAAGGAGGCTGGTCTTGGTTAATGTGATACGTTAAAGAACGAATTGTGAACAAATAATTTCTGCGTTGGAAGCAACGGATGGATACTCTGTTTATCTGTTGATAACCTGTTGACGATATCGAGGGATATCATGCTCCCGCTGCCTGTTGTGTGTTGAGCCTTTCCTGGTGAGGAGTGAGGGTTGTTGTTGTTGTTATAGATTCAGCTACTCGGAACATGTTCCAAGTAGCACGGGCTATGGTGAGCCCGTAACTTACAGGATGAGAGCTACGCTCGTGGTAACTACACTTAGGTAATTACACACACACACACACACACACACACACACACACACACACACACACACACACACACACACACACACACACACACACACACACACACACACACACACAAACACACACACACACACACACACACACACATTGGTAAGTTAAGGCTCATGTGTAACACTTGAAAGACAACAAGTGAACGAAGGAGAAGGAGGAGCCATTCCCCACGACCAGTGATATTCCTGAAAAAAAGCAAGAAAAAAAATTGCCTCTGAAAGGCATGTAAACATCAGTGGGGAGAATTACGTTGTAAACACATTTTTTTTTTTACAATTTTTTTTTTTTTATAATTTACATATTTGTGTACTAGTGGTTCTACATGCTTGTTAGTGTGTAGCCTCAGTAGTTGGTAAGTCTGAGGGCTGTCCGGGAAGTCGGCGGCCATCTTGACAGGAGCTGATTAAAAGTTTTTTTTTTCAGTTCATGTTCCTCATTGACGTCATTATTGTGCACAGTTCTTATTTTTGTTATCATTTTTGTTGTGAACATTAAGGAATTTTGTCATGACATTATTTTAAGTAATTATGGAAAAGAAATGGGGAAAATTTATTTGTCTGGAAACCCTAAAGAAGAAGAAGAAGAGTATATGGATACAAGAAGATGAAATTGGGAAAGGGAAACTGGAAAGGGAACGGTGGTAGGAAGGGTGAGAGAGAGAGAGAGAGAGAGAGAGAGAGAGAGAGAGAGAGAGAGAGAGAGAGAGAGAGAGGGAGAGGGAGAGAGAGAGAGAGAGAGAGAGAGAGAGAGAGAGAGAGAGAGAGGGAGGGAGAAAGTAGACTCATGGAAGGAAAAAGTGCATGCAGTAAAAACCTTACATATGCAGAAACAGGGATCCCGACGAGAGAGGCTGTTGGGGGTAGCAGTGTGCATGAGGCAGCAAGGGAGAGGAAGACAACAAAGACACCAACATAAACACAAACATCTTTGAACATCCTGAGAGATATGCTAATTTGGCCAAGAATTTCTTTGATGGGGATGACACCATATATTCACCCAGCGCGGGGAGAGGCCATGACAGACAGACAGACAGACAGGAGGTTGTATGTCTTGTATATCTCGCTGTATTTTGTTTTTTGTACAGACGATCATTTTATATACTTAAAGGTGCATACTTATCTGAGCCTTGCTTACCGTACTTGAGGTGTGAGGGGTCATACTTATCTGAGCCTTGCTTACCGTACTTGAGGTGTGAGGGGTCATACTTATCTGAGCCTTGCTTACCGTACTTGAGGTGTGAGGGGTCATACTTATCTGAGCCTTGCTTACCGTACTTGAGGTGTGAGGGGTCATACTTACCTGAGCCTTGCTTACCGTACTTGAGGTGTGAGGGGTCATACTTATCTGAGCCTTGCTTACCGTACTTGAGGTGTGAGGGGTCATACTTACCTGAGCCTTGCTTACCGTACTTGAGGTGTGAGGGGTCATACTTACCTGAGCCTTGCTTACCGTACTTGAGGTGTGAGGGGTCATACTCACCTGAGCCTTGCTTACCGTACTTGAGGTGTGAGGGGTCATACTTATCTGAGCCTTGCTTACCGTACTTGAGGTGTGAGGGGTCATACTTATCTGAGCCTTGTTTACCGTACTTGAGGTGTGAGGGGTCAAACTTATCTGAGCCTTGCTTACCGTACTTGAGGTGTGAGGGGTCATACTTATCTGAGCCTTGCTTACCGTACTTGAGGTGTGAGGGGTCATACTTACCTGCGTGTTGCTTGGAAGATTCTACTATTTTCCAGACCTCCTCCGTCTGCAATGTTGCATATGGCAGACAGCTTTCAGAGGTTGTGAAGGGTGTGATAGATGAGGGAGCAGCGGCATGCGGTCCCCCAGCTTTCAACTTGTCCCAGACCCGCCCATTACCTTACCTTGAGGTGCTTCCGGGGCTCAGCGTCGCCGCGGCCCGGTCGTCAACCAGGCCTCCCCGTCGACCAGGCCCGTTCTCTTACAAATTACGCCGCTTTTCGCCTGTATGCCTTACGGCCAAAATATCGCCGTATTGGAAATTCATTTTCCAAATGAAATGGACCCCAAAGCATCAAGTTAAGGGTCCTCTGGTAGGTTAGGAGGGTAGGAGGTTCTCCTAAGGTTTCAAAACATCATGAAAACCGTTAATTGAAAGTTTCCTCTCCTAACCTAACAGCCTAAGCCAGAGGACCCAAAACAGAAAACGGGAAAGTAAGTCAATTTCCTGAGCCGATTTCATTTTCTAGTACGGCGATTTTTGGCCTTAGTGCGAATACGAGCGAAAAGGGACATAATTTGTAAGAGAGCGGGTTGCGAGGAGAACCATCACTGAGGAGTGACTAAGATGTTTTAAATTCAGCTACTCGGAACAAAAATTAACGTAGACAAAAGTGTCCCTTAAATCGTGGACTACCTTGGTCGTGCTGATCTGCAATATTATGCAGGGAGATTAGCTGCGGCAGATGAATTCACCGAATTAATACGGTGAAGTATTAATTAATACGGTGATAATATTAATAATTAATACGGTGAATTATTAATACTTAAGAGACGCAACATTTTTTAAGGGAAAGGGCTTCACTGAAATACGATGTCTTAACGACAAGATTTATTCAACAAAACTTGTCTCTGATACACCGGGGACTACTGTTGGTGTGACTGATGTCATGACAGGAGACAAGACAGACAGAGGAACATGATGTAGTCCAAGTGAACCAAAATGGTCCCTAAAGGAACAGCTTCACTTTACGCTCAAATGACCACCAATTAATTAATACTAATAGCATCTATAGTTACCAAAGGGCGCACATGATGTTGTAATCTGATGCTCGGGTTTACGAGCATGCAAATCATGCTCCAGTGACATGTTTGTTTACATGTTACATGCTCATTTACATGTTACATGCTCATGCTCCAGTGACATGTTTGTTTACATGTTACATGCTTACATTTACATGTTTACATGCTCGTAAACATGCATGTTTACGAGCATGCAAATTGCATTTACGAGCATGCAAATACACGCCACCTAAGTAATCTTATACATGGAGTAATATTGCTGTATGTGTGGTGTGTGCAACCTTCCACACACCTGTTGCTTTACTGAGTGGCACTTCAAGTCACGTGTAATATCCGCCTCCACTAAAGTAGAACCAATTTTGAGGGAACAAGATACGTCGTAGGGAAACCCAGCTCAAAATGACTGGTCCATAGGTCTTCGCTCTCCGGATGTAATGGGGAGAGCCTGTACCGCCCCCCTAATACGGGCTCACCATAGCCCGTGCTACTTGCAACTTGTTCCGAGTAGCTGAATCTATAACAACAACAAACAACCCACTGTGGTCCAGAGTCAGCTGGGAAAGTCATCCCCCTCATATTACATGCGTCAGGCGGGAGGTTCATATTTATCTAGGGTAAACTTAGCCATACCAAGAGCATACCTGTAGAGGGTTTCGGGAGTTCTGCTACTCCCCGAGCACGGCCTAGGGCCAGGCTCGAACGTAGGCCCAGACTACCGGTCTGCCCAGAAGGGCTGTAGTCCGCCCTCCGAGGGTACAAGGGTAGGGTAGAGAGAGGAAACTGCCCGCAGGAAGGTTGGGGGGGGGGGGGGGTCAGGTGGTGTAAAAACTCCGTTCTATAAAGTGGAAAAGTTAAGAGCGAAAATTCATGAGATGTTCACCAAAATTTTTATGTGAGGGAGGAAGGTGGCCTGGGACGGGTGGTGTTATATCCCGCCACCTGCCACCTGCTACCTGCCACCTGCCACCCTGCCACCTGCCACCTGCCACCCTGCCACCCTGCCTGCCTGCCACACTAGTGTACCACACGACCCATGACCCCGTACCCTGTAAGAGCTGTACGATAAGGAGTCGTAACCTTCACCACTCTTGACCAATCCCGTAACTCGATTAAAACATGGCACAATAAGTCACTACACTCAGATGACACATATATATATATATATATATATATATATATATATATATATATATATATATATATATATATATATATATAAGTGAAATTACCACTAAGTAATTAATTAGTGTAATTACAACTAAGACAGGTGTGTACATGCCAGGTGTGGGCATGACAGATGTGTACATGACAGGTGTGGGAGTGTGGTAGGGCTGGCATTATCACTAATATGGTGACCACTAAGACAGGTGTGTACATGACAGGTGTGGGCATGACAGATGTGTACATGACAGGTGTGGGAGTGTGGTAGGGCTGGCATTATCACTAATATGGTGACCACTAAGACAGGTGTGTACATGACAGGTGTGGGAGTGCGGTACAGCATCACTGGCGGCAACAGAGACGGACTCTTCACCATTGACCAGCGGTCAGGACTCATCACACTGGCCGCTCCCCTCGACTACGAACTCCAGCCCAAGGTCAGTACACCTGTAGTGACCACCTGGCCCTTTGTAGTGACCCCCTGGCCCTTTGTAGTAACCCCCTGGCCCTCTGTATCCACCACCTGGCCCTCTGTATCCACCACCTGGCCCTCTGTAGTAACCCCCTGGCCCTCTGTAGGCACCACATGGCTCCCATGTATCCTCCACCTAACAGGAACCACCCATGAATAGAACAAGGATTCATGGGGCCCATTAAAACAGAAACATGAATGTATACAATTATTTTACATTTGTATTGGGTATTATTTTCGTATGTTATTTCTGTGTATAGCTAATGTTGTCGGGGCTGAATTTTGTAATTGAAATTTAAATGCTTTTTTCATAAATGTTGGAATATCTGTAATTATAAACTATGCTTAGGTTTCAGATTTAGAAGCGACATCTATATTTGATTTTTAAAATCATTACAATTGTCAAATTTAGATGGAGAAAAGTATTTCCATATCAACAAGTTCTTAATTTATTTCTATAACTAACGTAAAATCCGTTTAAAACTTAGGTTTTTAATTTTTTTAACTGAGTTTTTTAATAGATTAATTTCAAAATTGCGTATTTTAAATAGATATTTAAAATGGTTTCTACAAATCCTCATTAAAATCCGTAGTTATAAACGATTTTTGAATGTTTATTACTATTTTTTAATGTGTTTTTGAGCACTTTATAACCCATTAAAATTTAAAACTGGACTTCTAAAATGGGTTTTCAAAGTTATTTTTAAGTGATTTTTAAACTAACTTTTTCAAAATACAGTATTGTTTAACCAGGTAAAAAGCTGTTTAAAGCGTGTTTTTAACAACCAGATTAAAAAGTTTAAAAACTCTTCTTAAATTAACAACCACAGGGTTGAATCAATCAGGTTCATTAAAATATAGGTCTTAATCACTAGATTTTTAAAACTTTTTTTAAATGTTTTTAAAGTTCGGTTTTAATAGCCCATTTTAAGAAACCTTAAAAAAGTAAACCAAAAAAAAGGATTTTTAAAGAAGCTTTTTGAAAATGTGGTTTTAATGCATATTCTTTTGTGTTGAAAACGTTTTAAAATCCAATTTAAAAAAAAAACCATTTTACCCTCTAAACCTCTAAAATTGTAAAATATAGAAATAATATAGTAATTTTATATATATATATTTATATATACATTTGTGAGGGTACCACCTCTGGTGCCAATGTGGGGACCCATAGCCTCGGAGAAGAAAATAAAAAGTATTTAGAGGAGACCTTGTGGTTTCTCACTGAACACTAATATTATATATATATTTATTATATATATATATATATATATATATATATATATATATATATATATATATATATATATATATATATATATATATATATATATATATACCAATCACTACAGGGTGTATTATGAACCATAATTCTGTAGTATGTTCGAGTCTATACCACTGAATATCCTCGTCTCGGAATCGTGGGACCCGGGTTCAATTCCCAGACAGGACTTGCGCAAGTTTCCTTTCATCTGATCCCTTTCTTCACCCTTACAGCAAATAGGTATTTAGGAGTTGGGCAGTTGTTGTGGGTTGCCTCCTGGGGGAAGGGGGAGAGTTCAGGTGTTGAACTAAGGGGGACGTTGATAAGTTTAAGTCCATGCTTCCTGTCCTCGACTACGGAGTTATTATTTGTCTAAGCTGGGAACTCTGAGCTTCGTTTCCTGGAAAGCATTTCTCTCTCATTCTCTCTCATTCTCTCTCATTCTCTCTCATTCTCTCTCATTCTCTCATTCTCTCTCTCTCTCTCTCTCTCTCTCTCTCTCTCTCTCTCTCTCTCTCTCTCTCTCTCTCTCTCTCTCTCTCTCTCTCTCTCTCTCTCTCTCTCTCTCTTTCTCTCGAAGCCAGAGTAGGTTTGCGGCTGTGTTGTGTTCTTCAGCAGTGTTTCATATTGCTCGCAGGTAAATTGCTACGACCTTCGCAGATTGGGTAGAAAAAGTTTTAATTAAAATCACACAATGCGGGTTGGGAGAGAGGCAATTATCGCGGGATAATGCTGTTGTGCTACTTAGTTTAGTGTGCCCTAATTATCCCCGGGTGTCGACACGCTCGTTTTCTCTTCTTACCTGAGCTGCTGTTGTCCCCTTTCTTCCTTCGGTATCAGGAGGCCATCCCTCTTCTGCCTCTCCGGTAGCAGCTTCCTTTTCCATTCTTCCCGGGTACAGAGACCGCTTCCTCTCCCCCACCCCGGGTACAGAGACCGCTTCCTCTCCCCCACCCCGGGTACAGAGACCCCTTCCTCTCCCCCACCCCGGGTACAGAGACCGCTTCCTCTCCCCCACCCCGGGTACAGAGACCGCTTCCTCTCCCTCACCCCGGGTACAGAGACCGCTTCTTCTTCCCCACCCCGGGTACAGAGACCGCTTCCTCTCCCTCACCCCGGGTACAGAGACCGCTTCCTCTCCCCCATCCCGGGTACAGAGACCGCTTCTTCTTCCCCACCCCGGGGTACAGAGACCGCTTCCTCTCCCCCACCCCGGGTACAGAGACCGCTTCCTCTCCCCCACCCCGGGGTACAGAGACCCCCACCCTCTCCCCACCCCGGGGTACAGAGACCCCCACCCTCTCCCCACCCCGGGGTACAGAGACCCCCACCCTCTCCCCACCCCGGGGTACAGAGACCCCCACCCTCTCCCCCACCCCGGGGTACAGAGACCCCCACCCTCTCCCCACCCCGGGGTACAGAGACCCCCACCCTCTCCCCACCCCGGGGTACAGAGACCCCCACCCTCTCCCCCACCCCGGGGTACAGAGACCCCCACCCTCTCCCCACCCCGGGGTACAGAGACCCCCACCCTCTCCCCACCCCGGGGTACAGAGACCCCCACCCTCTCCCCACCCCGGGGTACAGAGACCCCCACCCTCTCCCCACCCCGGGGTACAGAGACCCCCACCCTCTCCCCACCCCGGGGTACAGAGACCCCCACCCTCTCCCCCACCCCGGGGTACAGAGACCCCCACCCTCTCCCCCCCCCCGGGGTACAGAGACCCCCACCCTCTCCCCACCCCGGGGTACAGAGACCCCCACCCTCTCCCCACCCCGGGGTACAGAGACCCCACCCTCTCCCCCACCCCGGGGTACAGAGACCCCCACCCTCTCCCCACCCCGGGGTACAGAGACCCCCACCCTCTCCCCACCCCGGGGTACAGAGACCTACCCCCTATCCAACCGAAAGAGCTTAATTAGCGCACCAATAGCATTATCCTGAGAGCCATACGGGCTCCGGAGATTGAACCGGTAAGTCGCCAACGGCCGAGGCGCCGCGGAACGTGGGCCCCGTGGCCAGTTTTCAGGAGAAATAGCTTGGCCGGAGGAGAGGTTACCACAGAGAAGCTCAGAGCTAACTTCTGGAACTGGGTAATTATTTTTAAGAGGAAATAAGAAGGCTTTAAGATGCTGTACTCTAAGTTCCGTTGGGGGGGGGAGGGGTATTTTGTGTACGATAACATTCAGGGGTCACTGTATGATACGATGCCACAGTAACAGACGGGTGTATGGTACGTCGACTTGTTGGTGCTGGTTAAAAATTACGTTAGTAGTAATGAATGCGTATTTGGATACGGCCGCTGCTTTAACGAGCCTCGCCAGTGGACAGGTTGTAGGAGTCCTGTGTAAACCTTTATTCATTCATATTCAGAGGGTTTGGCGACTGTTTTAACAACCATTTGGCTTTTTGTTGATGTCAACAGGCTGTGTTATAGCAACCTGTCATCAGGCCAGGCTCGTTAAAGCAGCGGCCGTCCACCAAGACGCATTCATTATTACAAACGTAAATTTTAACCTCGTAGTGCTTTGGAGCTCATAAACTGTTCAATAAACGTCAACAAAGCCGCCATGACTGAGGAAAGATGTACAGGTTTCGTAAGGAGTTGGGTAAATGCTTAAGGAATCTTAGCGCCTTGTTGACAGCCTGCCCTCTTCCTACTGTTGCTTGACGCCTTCTTTTTATAATTACTTACTTTTCCTACGGTTAGATTGTTTGCTCTTAAGAACGCATTATTTTGACTGTTGAAACTCACTAAGAACGCTGACCATCCACCGGTTCTAGCTCTTAGCCCCAAGCTCTAATACGACAAGGAACACACTGTCACGCTTTGACACAACACACACACACACACACACACACACACACACACACTGCTGGGGCAGACTGCACATTTCTGGACTGCCAGAAAGCCTTTTACATAGTACCATATAAGAGACTAGTGCACAATGAGATGCAGGAGTGAAAGGCAAGGTACTCCACTGGATAAGGGAGTACCTAAGCAACAGGACACAGCGAGTCACTGTGAGGGGTGAGGTCTTGGAGTGGCGAGGAGTCACCAGTGGAGTCGAGGCCGGTAATATTTTTCGTTGTATACGAACACGAGGGGATATATTTCGTACACCCCCCTACCCCCCCCCCCCCCCCCCGGAGTTTCGAGTCCCTCTTGTTCCATCCCGACCCGCACATCCTCCTCGTCCGAGGCTGGAGTCCACCCCCCCCCCCCCCCCCCCCCCGCAATGCTCCGAGGCTCGAAGGAAAGAAAAACGACACTAAAAAAATGCTTTGTACCTCTGACAAATGTCCTTCCTTGCGAGCATTGATGTGTTCAAGGCGGCCATGTTGTGTTTTGTGGGTCTGGGGCCACATCGCCGGAGATTTATGTACGGCAGTGTGTGTGTGTGTGTGTGTGTATGTGTGTGTGTGTGTGTGTGTGTGTGTGTGTGTGTGTGTGTGTGTGTGTGTGTGTGTGTGTGTACTCACCTAGTTGTGTTTGCGAGGGTTGAGCTCTGGCTCCTTGGTCCCGCCTCTCAACCGTCAATCAACTGGTGTACAGGTTCCTGAGCCTACTGGGCTCTATCATATCTACACTTGAAACTGTGTATGGAGTCAGCCTCCACCACATCACTGCCTAATGCATTCCATTTGTCAACCACTCTGACACTAAAAAAGTTCTTTCTAATATCTCTGTGGCTCATTTGGG